CTCTCTCTCTCCTCTCTCTCTCTCTCTCTCTCTCTCCCTCTCTCCCTTTTTCTTTTCCTCTCAATTAGGCCGATTCAATGGAGCTAAAGAGCTCGTAAAATCATGAATAATTTACTCGTGATCTGTTATTAACCCATCGGGTTTCGAGCTCTTGTCGCAGGGACTGAACCTGTAATCAAATCTGACTTCGCCTCATTTTACTAAAGACGAGATTGTAGGTTCAATTGTCTAAATAATGGATTGGAATCAAATCAGTAATTACGCTGCCAGGCACACAAACACAAAAAGCTGGGGCTGGGGGAGGCTCCAGCGTCCGGCCAGTCTGCACAGGACTCCCGCTGCCAGGGCAGCAAAGCCCAGCACAAAGTGCGTGGACAGCCCCTCGGCCCGGCTGCTGCCTTTCCCAAGACCCCGAGTGAAGGGCGCACGGGCTTGTGGGGAGGCCTCAGGTCAGCCTTTTGGGCTGGGACTGCACTGAAACCAGAGGGGCCGTTAGGGAAGGGCCGCCACGTTCCCCGCCCCGGAAGGACTTTCCCACCCCGCGGTGCCCTTCCCTAAACCGAAGTCCCCACTCTCGGGCCCAGGCTCACTGCCCCCGACCAGATTGCCCCTCAGAGCCACCGGCTTTGCAAGAGGTCAGTATGACTGTGCCCCTGGATGTGGGACACTTACACAAACAAACAGTCCCTGCAGCCAGAAGCATGCCCCTCACAGGAGCACACACTCACAGAACTCACACCCTCCGTGGGCTCTGACTGCCGATTCCAACTGCCCCACAGCCCCACTGCGGCCATTTTTCTACCACTAGAGTCAGGAGAGCAGGGAGGGGACGGAAGCCAGATGTTGGGGGGACTGGCTGGGCCCCTCAAGGACAAGGAGTCATCTTCCTTTTCCCAGTCTTGTCCCAGGGAGCCGGGTGTAAGAAGCGCTCTGCCACCGCCAGCACCCAGAACGGTTTTCCTCCCAACACTGGGCCCAGGCCAAGGCCAGAGATGTGGGCAGGGGAAGGAGAAACGGACAGAGACACAAAAAGAGAAGAGAGAACAAACAGGAAAGGCAGAAACGAGAGCGGGGGGGGGGGGGGGGGGGGG